AGCCCTGGTGGCCCTGTGGGTAAGGTATTGGGCTGCTAGCTGCAAGGTCGGCAGTTCAAACCCACCAGCCACTCCTGTGGAGCAAGATGAGGCTGTGTGCTCTTGTAAAAGATGCGCCGCCTCAGAAACCCTATCTAGGGTCGCTATGAGTTGGAATCGGCTCGATGGCAGTGGATTTGGTGTCTACGTGTGTAACCTTGGCAAGTTCCACAGTCCTCACTTCTAATGAAAACACCTTTAAAAGCTTTAAGCCCTAGTATGATCCCTAATATGAAATAAAAGCCTTAAGCCCTAGTATGATCCCTAGTATGAAATATCTAGAACAGGCAGGTGTATAGTGATCCGAGTTTATTAGTGGTTAGCAGGGACCGGGGTGTGGGGCAAGGAAGACACAATGCTTAGAGGACACTGAGCTTCTGTTAAGGGTGACGGAAGAAATGAGGAGTATTATTAAGTGGCAGTTGAACAATGTGATGAACATACTGTTGCTAAATTGTTTTTGCAAAGATTGTAGAAACAGCAAATATTTTACCTGTATATTTACCACAATAAAAACAGCAAACCTCAAACCCTAGATTTTATGCCCTACATCTGTATCTGCTCCTCCCCCTATGCCAAACCTTTTTAATGTGTACCTCGGGCTCTGGGCACAGGTACAGATTAAAGCGTTTGGACTGTTCAAACCTACCAACTGCTCTGTGGAAAAAGATGAGTCTGTTGGCTCCCATAAAGGGAGCAGTTCTGTTTGTCCTGTAGCGTCGCTGTGAGTCAGAATCAACTCAGCAACAGTGGGTTTGGCTTGGTACCCTCTTTTACAGGTTAACCTTTTACCTCCACTTCAAATCCTTCCCAGCTGGCCTTGGCTCCCTCTATACCCCCACCCCAGGCCAGGAGAAGAGGCTCTGCCTCCCTCCCTTGTCCCCAAGGACCTTTCCAGAGCTTGAACCTGGATTACCTTGTAGACCATCATCCTCACTAGCATATTTGTGTATGCTCCCAGAAGTCCTTACCTGTGTGCATAGAGAGCCTGCCCCGGAGGGTCACTGCCCCCACCCTGCCCTAAATAGTTGATCCCAGTATGCTAGAACTAATTCCCCCTCCCCCACCTCCCCTCCCATCCCTGCCTTCTTTCCTCTACCAGGAACCTGTGGGTCTGGAAAATCCCCCTCTCTGCTTGGCTTCTTCCTCTCTGGCCCAGATCTGCCCTCTGGACCACTCCTCTACAGTCAGCCTTCCGGCTCCAATGGCTGCCTGAAGCACTGGGTTCCTTTGGGAGGAAACTGGGCTTCCTTACAGCCAGAGACAGACTGGAAGGCAGGAAACCTGGGTTTTATTTCTGCCTCTGACCTTACAGCTGCTGATGGCCTTCCTTGGGCCCTCAGGCACACCCTGTCCAGTCCACTCCCGGCTCCTACATCTTGGGCTGTCCTGGGAGCTGGTCAGTATGGGGATGGGGACCAGGGAACCCTGGACTTCCTGGCACTGCCCCACTTTAGGCTTCATGACCTACCTGGAAGCCTAGCCCAACCCAGCAACTCCCTGGTGGACTGGAGGGCTCTGTATGGGGAGCCAGGAGGTCTTGGGCAAGTCAGTTCTTCCAGGGCCTTGGATCTCTCTTTTGTAAGTAGGAATCATTATTCTTGCCCAACTACTCAGCGTGGATTACCTCAGAGGGTCATTGTCAGGGTCAGATGACACTGAGGCTGAGGAAATGCTTTGTAAACTGAAGCACAGTGTAGCCGAGAGACTCCATGGGAGTGACTGTCAGAAGCCACAGTTCTGGATGATTCCACAGCCCTGATCGCAGTAGTAAGAGCTGAGACTTTGGAGCCAGATCATCAGGGCTCAAACCCCTGATGCTATTTTCAAGTAGATTACTCTCTGTTCCAATTCCCCATCTTTACAATCAGTTTGAGCACCTAGAAAACAGTGTCTGGTGCATAGTAAGTGTTTAATAACCATTACGTTTATTAAGAGCCTGGACTTTCCAAGTGTGGATTCAAGTTCCCTTCTATGGTCAAGTCTCAGCCTTCTTTCTTTTGGCTTTTTCCGGAAGCCTCTTTCCTGTTGGCTCCTTCTCCCTTCCCAGATGTAAAATACAGCTGCTGAAATCTTTTGATCTTCAGCTTTTTTACAAATGAGTGTCTGTTCTTGCCGACTTGCCCCCTGCAGCAGGCCCTGACCTGACCCTGGAGCCATGGACCCTGAGAAGGGGGCTGCAAGCAAGAACAGGCTGGCATATGGAAGAGTTCCACTCCCTGGGGTCCCTGGGGTGGTCGAGGAGGCTTCTGGCCAGGTCCCAACATGCTTGGCTTCTCCTTCCCCTCTCCCTGCAGATGTGTATTTCTGACTTTTTTTCAAGTTGAATCTTGCTTAGCTATTTCCCTTCCAGTTCCAAGCCCATTTCCCTCCTTCCCTGCCCCAGTTCCTTTTTCGCTAGGAGAAGCTCTGGACCTTATTCACTGCACTAGGGGCTGGGGAACACAAGGAATCTTGGTGTCCCATGCATGCCCTCCATGGCCTTGCTTCCAGGTAGTGACAGTGAGTCTTCCCCTTGTGGGGAGGGCCCAAGCCTATCTCTGTCTAGACCCCCTTCTCTGTCCAGGGCCAGTGCCCCTGTATCAGTCCTAGCCTGGGTCAGTCAAGGCCTGCCCAAGACACCCCCCAACCCAGTGGGAACATTGCCCTATGTCCCAAGCCAAGGGAGGAGGCAGAGCCCCTGTGTTCTTATCCAGGAGTTGTCAGCGTCCTCTGGGCTTGCACAACCATGTCCTTCCTGCCAGGGCTGGAGAAAGCCTGACTCTCTGACTCTGAGAAGTGGCCCAGGAATCTTTGGAGGTTCTAAAGCACATGCCTTGATGTGAACCCCAGCAGTCCATTGGTCACCCAGAATGGGCACTTGTCTAGAGGAGGGAAGGGAGAAGGAAGGATGTGTTGGTGGATTGCAGGGGGAAGGGACATTAGGCCAGAGCTGAGAAGATATGGGCAGAATAATTTCTGAGTAGGATTGATAGCGCTGCAAACCGAGATGGCAAATTGACACCTAGAGTGTGCTCAGGGAACTCATAGCGGGAGATGCATCTAGTGATGGTATGGGAGTGAGTGGTTACCTTCAAAGCAGGAAGTAGCTAAAAATAGGTAACATTTTTGTTCCTTCAAGTATTTACTGAACATGAGGTGCTAAGAAGGTGGAGATGGAATTCTTCACAGTCCCTATCTTCAAGGTGCTTCCCTAGTCTGGGTCCAGACAATTCTAAAGTAAGCCCAGAATCTAGCCATGGGGTGGAGAGACCTGCAAAGTGCAAGGAGCCAGGACAAGGCCTCCTGGGAGATTTTCTTAAGCATTTCCTTATCAAATTGGATACACTTAAGAAATTGCATGTAGTAAAATGTGTTCATTTCAAATGTACCTTTCAGTGAGGATATACATACTCCTGGGGAGCGCTACCCCAATCAAGATGCAGATATTTCCATCACCCCCAAAAGTTCCCTTGTGCCCCTTTCCCAGCCAAGCCCACCCCTGACTTCTCCTGACTCCTGGCGACCACTGATCTTTTTTCACTTTAGATTAGGTTTCTTCCATTCTAGAGTTCCAGATGAGGTCCTGGTGTGCGCCATAGGATAACCACAAGGTCGACAATTCAAACCAACTAGCTGCTCCCCAGAACCCCTATACAGGGCGGCTATGAGTCAGAACTGACTTGATGACTCTTAACAACATCAGAGTTCCAGAAAAATGGAGTCCTATAGCTTGTGGTCTTTCACTCAGCATGATGCGGCTGAGATTTGTTCCCCCATGTTGCTATGCTCAGTGTGGTACATTCTTTTTGACTACTAGGAGTTGGAAGAGGTGATGTTTAGTCTGAGTGCTGGAGGGTGAATAGGAATGGATCAGATAACCAAAGAGAGGAAGGGCATTCCAGAGGAAACACCAGCATGAGAACAAACAGAAGTGCCAGGGCCATGGACTTGGGGCCTAGAGGGTACTGACTGACTGCATTTTCTCTCCTGCAGTCCTCACCCTATCCAGCCAGTGAGGGCTAGGTTTGGTTTTCATACTCAAGACTCTTCCCTTCTGACCAGGCCAGAGCAGGGCCTGAGGCCCTCATACAAGTTCACTGGGTTGAGTGCCCATAATGGGACCGACCAAGATGAACCCGTGCATGCCTGTGGGCTCTGGGACTCCCTTGGGTTTATGTTCCTCTAAGTTGCCTGATAAAACTTTGGAAACATCTTCAGCTTGTCCGAGGGGGAAAGATGCATGTCCATTCTCATACCTTTTCTGTGTGGCAGCTGGAACCTTCTCCTCAGGTCTTCGGGGCGGGGCCAGGAGTCTGAGGTGGGATTTGTGTGTGAGTTCCACATTAGCCTGAGGTCACGTGGAGCTCACCCCACATCTCTCTGGCCCCCACTTAGTCCAGTTGCTGGAGGAGAGCCTGCTGGCATGGCCACAAGTGCCTGAGCTAATTCTCCAGCCAGACTGGAAAGTGTCCCCTGCATTTAGAGGTTTGAAGGCCAGACTGGGCAGAAAGAGGTGACCAGGGAGAAACTACTGGTGGGGGCAACACTTTTTACTGGCTTACCTTCCATTCTACTTACCCCCAGCCACACTGACACTGGGTATCCACTGCTCACCATGCTAACACAGGTCCTCTCTTTACCCAACTGTGTTCCCCTGTCCACTACCTATGACCTGGATGCCTCTTGTCTTCTCTAGAGAAAAAGGAACCATCACTTCTGAAAGTGCTTTTAATGTTATTGTATTTCTTCTTTGAGGATTCATTCAAATTCTGGGTTCTGCTCTGAGGTCTCTGAGGGGAGAAGGGGATTTAGGGAAAATGAGTCATGGACCATGGTTTGGTCCTAGCTGGGCTCTTAGGCAAACTAAGTGTGACTTTGGCACTGGTATGACTCTGTGTTACCTATGAAGGGAGGGGAGAGTCGTAGGGCTTCACAGAAGTTGGAGGGCATGACTCAATTTGCTTCCTGGTCTCTCACAGGTGGGCTACGGACTGAGGGCCTATGATGGCTTGTCTCTGCCTGAAGATGCAGAGACTGCCACAGCGGGCCGGGCTGGCTGGAACTATTCTGACCTTTCTGATGACGAGGACTTGCTGGCTGATAGCGCCTCCGGAGGTGAGGTGTCCAGGGGCTAATAGAATAGAGGGCTAAGGGAGCAGGGCTGTGTTCGTTCCCAGAGTGCAGGTGGGTACTCAGAAGGACACATTAAAGCTTGCTCCAGGTGGCACCTTGGGAGAGGCTGAGAACTGTGCATGTCCTGAACCCAGGTCCCAGTGATCCCAGCATGCTCTCCTTACAATCTGTGTGACCCTGGGCCGGTTACTGCACCTCTCTGCCACTGCAGTCTCCTCTAGTGCCTAGGACTCTTGGACTGGCCTGGGAGGGTCGTTGGCAGTGTGTGTGTCCACTGTACAGGATGATGCCCCTGCCCCTCTACTCTGTCCGAAGGGCCCTGTGTGGTGCAAACAGTTTGCATTGGACTAACGATTGACAGTTCCAACCCACCCAGTGGTGCTGTGTAAGAAAGACCTGGCTCTTTGCTTCTATAAAAATAACCGCCAAGAAAACTCTGGAGTAGTTCTGCCCTGTCACCCATGGGGTCAGAATGACTCAGTTGATTAAACAGCAGCTGGGTTTTTGGTGGTTGGTCTACTCAACTTCTGTAAGGAGCCCTGGTGGCTCCATGCTTAAGTGCTTGACTGCTAACTGAAAAGTTGGAGTTTGAACCCATCAGCCACTTCATGTGACTGTCTACTTCTGTAAAGATTGTTGTTGTTGTTAAGTGCCGTTGAGTTGGTTCCGATCCATACGTTCCCTGTGTAGGGTTTCTGAGGAACAGCTGGTGAGCTTGACCCGTTGACCGTGTGGTTCAAACTGACCTTGCAGTCCAGCGCATTAACCCACAGCGCTGGATAGTCCTGCCTAGAAGACTTTATGGGACAGTTGGACTCTGTCATCAGGCTCTCATGAGTTAGAACTGACTTCATGGCAACAGGTTTTGTTGCCTTTTCTTTGTCCTCGCTTTGAGCTGTGACATGACTCCTTCCACTGTGGCCATACAGACAGATGATTAAGTCCCTAGAGTTTGGATCGTATCTGATGGAGGCTCCCAAGCTGACTTGTACAGGTCAGCCCTCCCTAGGTAGTCACAGGGGAAGAGGTCCGTTTTCATTATCCTTCCCCACTATGTGTCAGGTGTCTAATACTTAGTAGGTGCTCAATTAATACTCTTGTAGACTAAAACTCCTCTCTTTTGCTTGCAGATGACATGGGCAGCGGGGACGTGGGTAGCGGGGACTTCCAGATGGGTAAGTTGCTGAAGGTATCCCACAATCTTCCCCCTCACCCCAGAAAGTCCCAGCAGGTCTTCCCAGCCACAGAGACATCCTTGCCTGGGCTGAGGGCTTAAGGGCTCCTGGGGCCTCCTGGAAATGAGCTATACAAGGTGTTCTCTGACCACTGAGGGACAGCAGTGTGGACCATTGGCAGGTCTCTGCGGGCTTGGAGATGGACGGGCTTCTGTACTTGCCTTTGCCACAGGCTCAGGGCAGGGACCAGGAAATGTTTTGTTCTGATAGGGACAAAACCCAGCTGACCAGCATTCAGAGCTGCATCTCCCAGGGCAGCACAGCTGTGAAGTTCTTCCCCAGAGCCCTCCTTGGAGTGGCTGCAGGGTAGGGGTGGTAAGAATGGAGGGATTAGGGGTTCTGACAGGGGTGGGATCAGTCTCACCTGGACTTCAGAAGGACTCCTAGCTGATGGTGGGTCATCTGTGGGAGGCCCAGACTCCTGGGTTATAGGACGAAGGCTGGGCTTTGTGGTAGGAAAGGAGTCAGGCCTCCACCAGCTGCCTCTCTGCTGGCACTTGAGCTGCACAGCCGCCACTGGGATGCAGGGTAGAGAAGGAACTGTGGCGAGTCCCAGCAGCTCCACAGGGGTTCTGTTGCTCTCGCTGGGTGCCAGCACCTGGGGCACTGTGCAATCATGGTCAGGGATGGAGGGAGAGCTTGGCTCAGGCTGACCATTGGACAGCTTCACTGCACCCGGTTTTGCCCAAACCACAGACTTTGATGAGTCCGACCTGAACTCTCCAGGAGTGAGGGTCACTCCCCTTGAACTGATACATCAGGGCATCCCTTTGCTAGCAGGTGGCGTCCTACCTGGGCAGCCTGTTTCTGTGTGTGAGTTCCCGGTGCCTGGCACTGGGACTCTGCTTGAAGCTGCTCCACGTGCAGGTCTCACCTGAGAGTGTTGGCCCCGCACATTCACCCCTCACCCCAGAATGACTTCCTGCGCCTCTTACTGAGCAATGCCTGCTCATTATCTCCTGGAAGAAGGGGGTTTGGGAGCGGCAGCTGGGGAGGGCCAAAAATATTTCCTTGTGAGTGGGGGCTCATCTGTGGGAGGAGGTGGGGCCCGTGGAACAGAGAGCTGAGGTGAGTCTCAGCCAGAGGCAGCAGGTATGTCTCCTGGATTTTTTGTGCCCTAGAGTGTCTGCTTTGACCTGGTCCAAGGGTAGTGTCCTCCAAGTAAGGCCACCCAGACCCCAGAGTCTGCCCTCTGAGAGAACCCTTCCTCTCTCCCTCCCGTCTCTCTTCCGGCACCCAGGACTGTGGCTCGCCCCACCCCAAGGCTGTGGTCCCTGGTTCTGCCACAGCCCCAGCCCCACCTGTGTGCCAGTACCCTCCCTGAGAGCCCCCACCTCTGCCTGTCTCTCCTTGGGATCCCTCCCACCTCCTTTCACCCAGTTTTCTCCACTTCCTGATCAGTCTCTCTCTTTCTCACCTTTGTTCCGCTGCACACCTGTCTGCACGCCATCTCTCTTCCACCCTGGCCTCTGGCTGTCTTTGTCTTTCTCTGTGTACCTCTGTCTTTCTGTTTCTGATTCTCCATTTCTGTCTACTCTCTGACCATCATCCCTCCCTCCCCTCTTCCTTTCTTTCCCCTTTTCTATCATTCTCATGTGTCTGGCTCTGATTCATTCTTTCCCACCTTCTCTTTGTATATCTTCCTCTATCTCTGTGTTTCTCACTTCCACCTTCCCGCCGTCTATCGTTTCTCCTCTCTCTCTTCTCATGTCTCTGTCTCTGATTCTTTGTCTCCCCGTCTCATCTCTCTCCATGTCTCTGTCTCTGATTCTATCTCTGTCCCTCTCCATGTCTCTGTCTGATTCTCTCATCTCCCTTGCTTTCCTGTGTCCCTCTCTGCTGTGCCCACTGCAGGCTCTGGGCCCCCTCTGGGATCCCCTCCCTTGGCTGGCATGATGGTCTCAGAGCCTGATGAGGAGACCCCTCTCAGTAAGTGAACCTGCGCCCACGTCCAGGACAGTCAGGGGCTGCCCACCTCTGCCTCCCTCTCCTCTGTTCCTTTTCTCTTCTCCCTCTCCCTCAGAGATGCCTCCTGTAGAGCCCAGCTGTCTTCCTTCTTCCCCGACCTGGGCTCAGGGATCTAAACCCAGTGGAACTGGGGCCCTGGGCTCCTCCCACGGGGCAGTGATGGGTATAGCCTCCAGACTACGGGGTCTTGTTTCCCAATGAACTGCTGTTCCATCACTGACCCTCAAGTGTGCTCGACACCCAAGTGTCCACTCCCTTGTATCCACCCTGGCCCGTCAGAGGCAGGGGGAGCAGGGCTGGTTCCTAGAGCCACATCTTCTATACCAACCCTCGGGCACCAGCTGTAAGGAGATAACGCAGGGTGGAGATGGGAGAGTGCTTACCCTGACCTGCTCCTAGACTGGGTGAAGAAAGGGGGTGAGGCCCCGCTGGAGGGTCTAAGCCCTTCCCAGGCCCTAGTAGAAAGGGGCTTTGTGAAGCCCAGCCCCCTTCCCTGGGAGCAGGCACATTCCTGGGCAGAGGCCTGGCCTCTTTGCCCATGCTGGGCTATAGGGCTGAGGCCAGGGGCCAGGGTGGGGGGACTCTCAATGGGTCTCTGTGCTGTCTCACAAGGGACCTCTGTGGCCCTGCTCATGGCCTCTACACTCCAGCCTACAGAGCCCCGCCCACCAAGCACCAGGAGCCCTGTAGACCAGAGCAGGCAGCACGCCTTCAAAAAGTACCTCTCCTGTCACTTGGAGTAATGGGAGTCCACTCCTGTAGCCAGCGTACCGCTCTATAATCTCCCAGGGCTTTCTTCTGGTTGCTCTGCTGGTGGGACAGGCCTGGGGTCAGGCACACCTGATGTCTCTGCCTTGGGGACTTTGTACTTGCTGTTCCACTCCCTGGAATGCTTGCCTCCCAGATACTCTTGTGTGGTTTGTGTGGTTCACACTCTTCCTTTAAACATCCACTTTCACAGGGAGGTCTCCCCTGGCCACCCTGTAGAAAACGGCAGCCTGCCCTACCCAACATGTGTGTTTGTTTTTCTCTGTGTTTTTTTCCCATAGTGTCAAGTTGGAATCAAGTCGATTCCAACTCATAGGGACCATGTATAGGGTTTCCAAAGTGTAAATCTATATGGGAACAGAAATCCTCATCTTTCTCCCTCAGAGCATATCTGATGGGTTGAACTTCCAACCTTGTAATTAGCAGTCCAGTGCTTATCCTACAGCAGTACGCCAGGACTCCTCATGCCATATGTTGTTGTTATTAAGTGCCATTGAGTCGGTTCCAACTCATATTGACTCTGTACAAGGTTTCCAAGGAGCAGATGGTGGGTTTGAACCACCAACATTGCGGTTATCAGTCCACACCAGGACTCCTTGCTTCTTTGTTTTATTTCCTTCCTTCCCTACTAGAAGGTGATCTCCATGGGTCTAAGATTTTCATTTCTCTAGTTCCCTGCTGTATCCTCTGCCCCTCAAGCACTGACATATAATGCTGATGGAGTTGGTTCTGGCTCATAGGGACTCTGTGTAGGGTTTCCTAGGCTATAAATCTTTACAGGGGTAGAAAGCCTCATCTTTCTCCTGCGGAGTGACTGGTGGATTCAAACTACTGACCTTGTGGTTAGCAGCCTAACTCGTAACCCACTATGCTATCAGGTTCCTCAATATAGATTTGTGAAAGGAAAGAATGAATGTCTCTCTCACATTGGAAGAAATGAAACTAGTTCTATTCCTTGGGCATGTTGCAAAGCATATAATGACAATAGCAAATCCACTTAGCTCCTTATATATAAGCACTTTATTATATATGAGGGAACATCAGAAAGTTCATGGGAAAATGGAATTAAAAGAGAATGATTTTTTTCCCACAAACTTAAAAAAATTCCCTTATATATTTTATGTATAGATATAAATGCATACTTGTATGTACATATATCTATACATACTCATTTTCAACTCATACTAACCCATTTTTAATATAAATGTTGTTTAATAGTCACTACTTTTATGAGATTTAATGTATATAAAATTATGTCTTGTGTAAGGAGGTTTCAAAAAGCTTGTGGAAAAATGGAATTAAAAGATAATGGAGAAAAACGGTCTTGTGCTCAGTGGGTCCACACAGAACGACAGATCACCAGCCTCCTTTCCTCCCTTCCTTCCTTCCTTATTTTTTTTTTTGCCTTTTGTCCTCTATCCCACATGTTCGTTTAACCCCCTCTCCTAGAGAGAGCCAATCCAAGGCTGGGCAGGGTTGTCTTTGCAGGTTTGGATCCGAGTCTTCCCCAGTGGGGTTATTGTATATAGCTCCTCCCCAGGGCTCACCACCTCTGAGTGGCTCTGACCACCTGGAAAGTGGGAAATTCCCTGGGATTGTATGCTGGTTGGAAAAAAAGGAAAAAAATAAAATGGCATCTTGTGCCCGCGAGCCACAGTGAGCATGATGTGCTTGAACTGAAAGTAAATGAGTTTAAGAGAAAATATGAAATAATTGAAGTCTCTCACAGAACTTTAAAGAAAGAAGTGAATTATCAAAAGAGATAACAAACTGTTACTTTACTGAAAAAAGATTAAAAAAAATCTAAATCGCCAAAACATGTGGAACTTAGTGTTCATTGTACCCATAAAGGGGACCACCTTGAAAAACTACAGGCTCAATTTGAAGAAACCAAAAAGTCTAGAGAAGAGATGTATGAAAAATATGTAATAACCTGGGACCATTATAGAACAGAATTTGAAAATAAACTATGTGATACACTGGAACAAATCAGAATGAAACGAATCAACAGACTGACCATCTTTGAAGTGCCTTTAGGGAAATGGATGAACCAGAAAACAGAAATCTCGGAGAAGCATGAGATAAGTCCCTGGCTGAAAAGGATTGAGCAGTAATGGTTGAAAAGGATGCTTTAGAAAAACATGGTCAGCTCTTAGACGTATACAGAGAATTACAACTTAGTGAGGAAAATAAAATGACAGAATTTCTCTATCAAAGTAAAAAATAATCTTTTGAGTGTGAGCATGTTCAACTTCTACCACAAGAAACTGCAAGAAATCTCACAGCGTCGATTGGAATGTAAAAAATATCAGAAGCAATTGGAGGTTTTAGCTAAAGAATTCTATAGTCTACAAGCCTCTTCTGAAAAACACATTACTGAACCTCAAGCATGGAATTCTGAGCATCGGGCAAGGCTAGACATTTATGAGAAGCTGGAAAAAGTGCTTGATGAGAGAATGATGCAGACTGCAGAAATGGAAAATGAAGATGAGACTCTCCTATGGGTACGGTGCGAATGTACCCATACCAGCCAAAAGATGACTCAAGCCAAGTGTCCACTTGGCAAGAAGAGTGCTTCATTAGAAACACAAAACTTGCTCATTCAAAAAGACCTGGAACATCAAATGGACCAAGGAACAAGGTTTTCACAAGAGCTCGGCAGGGCCAATTTACTGTTAAACCAAACACAGTAACCATACATATTGAATCAGTGTGTCATGGATTCAAAGATTGACTCGCTGAAGTTGTGTATTGTACAACTCGAGGAAGGTGTCAGCAATTAAGGAAAAGTCAGTTTGACTACAGATGAAGACTCAAATGGCATTAGATTTGGAATCGCTTTGATATCATCCTGAAGAGTTGGCAGCAACGAAACATTTTCATTAGTGTGCACAGTAAGCATCATGAGGGCAGCTTACTTCTTACGAAAAGAGTTTCAATAAAAACTGTGACAGCAGCCTTTGGATGTGCCTAGAGAACATGAAGAAATACACTTACACCCAAATACACTTACAAATCATGTAAGTAAGAAAGCTTACTTCTTATGTAAGTAAGAAAGCTTACTTCTTATGAAAAGAGTTTCAATAAAAACTGTGACAGCAGCCTTTGGATGTGCCTAGAGAACATGAAGAAATACACTTACACCCAAACCAACACTGTTTACCAAAAAAAAAGCAACTGAACGGCCTAAGAAAGTAAAGACCAAAACCTAGAATTTTGAATGTATTTACAATGTCTTTACTCTGTGTATTCCTTTTCTAATGAAAAAAGCTTATTCTAATCATATACCAGAAATTGGTTTAAAATAGCTGATTTAGAAGTTTATTTTAATTGAATGTTAAATGAACATATTTTGACAGAATATCAAAAAATATAAAATACAAAATATGATACACTTTCTATTGGATTTTCTCAATCTTGGTACAGACTAAGTAAAGGATACTGTATTTATAATTTCAAAAAAAGATCATGGAGTTTTTTCCAAATTATTTTAAAATAGTTTGTATACCACTGCAAACCACAAGGTCAATGGCTCAAACCCACCAGCTGCTCCATGGGAGAGTGATGAGACTTTCTGCTCCACAAACATTTGCAGCCTTGGAAACCCTATACAGGGTTGCTACGAATCAGAATTGACTTGATGGCACTTAACAACAGCAGGAAGAAACAACTGCTGTATGTGTGTGTTTACACCAGTGTGGTATGACTTAATTCAGAAGTTTATAGCGTGGTGGTAAAGACTGACCTCTCTGCCCCCACACAAATGACAACAGCTTCTGATTCTGTAGCTCTTTGTATGGCATCTAAGTGCACAGGAAGCTGGCTCACAGCCACCCAGTGTGGTATACGCAGTTAATATCTCCATTTCACTGAGGGGAAAATAGGCTCAAGGATGTAAAGTGAGACATGGCCCACTTCAGAACCCCTGACTTTTACAGGATGCTCCATAGCCCTTGTGTAACCAGGCAGAGTCGATGTGATGGAAGGTACACAGAGGGCTGGACTGGAGGAGGAGGGCAGTTCAGGCAGTCTTATTAGAGGAGGTGAGACAGAGTTGAACCCAAAGGATGAGTTGACTAGGAAGTATGTCCCAGGCACACACAAGTTACCCCATGCCAGGGCAGCCTCCTCCAGAAACCACTCCTACCTGCCCAGCTTTGTCTCTGGGCCACTGAGGTCCCCCTCTGCACCATCCCTTGGTTTCAGGATCAGGACATTTTCCTTGTCGGTGGAAGCCCCTCACTCAAAGCCAGGCCTTCCAGGACTACAGGCACAGTGTGCTGTCTGACTGTGGACACGCAGAGACCTCCAGAGACCATCCCCCCAACCCCTACCTCCCACTGATCAACCTGCCAGGCTGGGCCCCTCATGGTGACACTTTCTTTTCACAGTTTATTTCCGGGCCCTGGTCAATTTCACTCACTCCATTGACTACAGTCCCCGACTGGAAGATGCGAGCTCCAAGGAGTTCCGAGAGGTGTCCGAGGCTGTGGTAGACACGGTGAGGTGGAGTGGGCCTGGGGGGCTCCCTGGGTATGGTGGGATCTGGAGACTGATGGTGCTGTACTGTGCTGTGTCCCTCACCAGCTAGAGTCGGAGTACTCGAAGATCCCCGGAGAGCAGGTGGTCAGTGTGGTGTTCATCAAGTGAGAATGATCCCTGGGAGCTGGTGAAGGGGGCAGCCTTCACAGAGGGCTGGGGTCACACTGGGAGAGGGAGAGGCTTACTGGGATGAGTCTCTACTGGTGGAAATTCAGGAATCAGTGGGGGAGAATTGGGAGCTTAAATTGCCCTGTTTGCGGTGTAGGCCATCCAGGGATAGTGAGTTTCAGGAGCTCAGGGCTGAGCCCAGGACAGGAGGCCGCTGGGTGCTGAGACAGCAAGCATCTCCCTCATCCTCTCCCTGCCCTGTTGCTATTCCTAGGGAGCTGGATGGCTGGGTCTTCGTGGAACTGGATGTGGGCTCAGAAGGGAATGCTGATGGGACTCAGATTCAGGATGTGCTGCATTCGGTCATCTCCAGCGGCTCCATTGCTTCCTATACCACCTCTCCCCAGGGCTTCCAGTTCCGACGCCTGGGCACAGGTAAGGAAGGCCATCCGGGCTCATCTCCTACAGTTCTCAATTCATGTGGGCCCCTTCTCTGTGTCCCCACCATGAGTTCATCTAGCATTGGTTTGCATACCATCTGGGAGAAGGGAGCTCACTATCTCCAGTCTGCCCCCATCATTGTTTTTGTGACCTTGGCTTAGGTGGAGCACAGTCTGTTTCTCTGATAAGTATCCATTAGACCCACTTTCTGCTCAATATATATGTTCTTGTGTGGCACATCAGGATAATATGCTAGACCACAAAGTCAGTTGGAACCACAAAGTCAGTGGTTCAAACTCACCAGCCACTCCTTGGAAATCCTGTTGCTATGAGTTGGAACCGACTCCATGGCATTTAACAACAATAACAATACAATGCCAACAGACACACCATTCTGTTCTTCATTTAGCACTTGGGGGCCCAAACACATTTAAATGTGATAACAAACTATTGTTTATTGAGCTCTGACTTTGTCATAGGTCCTTTGCTAAGACCCTTATATTCAGCTTCCGTTTAGTCTTCTCAATAATTCCTATAGAGTAGCTGTTGGTAACTGTTGATTTGTGATCTGTAGTGATCCTATGTAACAGGGTAGAACTGCCCCATAGAGTTCTCCAGGCTGGAATGTTTATAGGAGTGACCACCAGGTCTTTCTCCTGCGGCGCCAATGGGGAGATTCAGTTAGCAGCCAAACAACCGCTGTACCACCTGTAATCATTGGAGTAGACATTACTTCTCCTGTTTTACAGCTAAGGGGACTGAGACTTAAAAAGGGAATAGGGCTGGTCCAAATTCACATAGGCAGGTGTTGGAAAAGCGCTGGGTCTATGCCAACTTTGCCAGACCTGTGAGGAGAACAGGGCTGCTCAGCCCCATTTTAAAGATGGAAAACTGAGGCTCAGAGAGAATAAGACGCTAGTTCCAGTTGACATAGCTGTTAGGAGCAGAGGCTTGGCCTTTGTATTCTCTGCCAGCCAGGTTTCTTTTTCCTGCATGTCTGTCCCTTGTTTTTCACACCCTGAGTCTTTTCTTTTCTATCCTTAGAGGACCTACTTCCATAACTGTTCTTCACAGACTGTAGCTCTCAGCCCTGTCCCCATCCCAGTCCCTCCTCTCTGGGCAGGCTCCAACATGTCACACTGTCTGTGACTCAGTGGAACCCATACTGAACAAATTCCGTCCCTACCATGGTGTTTTTACCCCATCAGTAAAAAATTGTGAAAGCATCACCTCCCTTGTTCTGCACACTCAACCTCAATTAATGTAACCAAAGATCTAGACCCAGGTCCAGATCTAAAGGTTGCCGAGGGTCTAGTCCCCCCCTCCCCCCTTTTTTAATGAGTCCTCTTGAGCAAGAGAGATCTCCCAAGAAGGTTGAGTCTGACACAGACCTGTAGCCCACCTCTCAGATCCCAGGTGGGCGGCTGCTGACCACACCTTCCTTTCCAGCACAGACACCCCCGCCCCCGCAGGCCGCCATGGCGGCTTCAGTGACACCAGGTGAGAGTGTGAGCCTGGCCCAGACCCAGCTGGGGACTAGAGAAGCTAACGACTGGAGGGGAAGGAAGGATGAGGGCAAGATGGCTGGGCATAGCCCACAGGCCGCCCCTTCCCTCCCACTCTTCATCCTTGCTGGGCCAGGCTATGTCCTGCATGAGTGTGCTGTAGTGGTTGCATGCATGTGGCATGTTGACTGTGTGGTGTCTAAGAGATGGGTGAGGTCACTGCCACGTCTCATGTGCTGTGGATGTGTCCGCCTGTACTCTTTGCTTCCACTGTGTCTGTCAGAAAGCAGAAGCCTGGCAGCTACTGCCCGCTCCAGCCATGTGTGCCCCTGCCCTCCCTCAGCCCTTCCCTAAAATCCTACCTGCCACCTCTGACTCTCCCCAACCCCCACAGTGCCCCAGTCCTCCAGGGCCTGCACTGATGCTGAGTTTGCGTGCCACACCCACAACGAGTGTATAGCTCTGGAATATCGCTGTGACCGGCGGCCTGACTGCAGGGACATGTCTGATGAGCTCAATTGTGGTGAGGGGTTGTCTGGGGTCACAAGTGACCTGCAAGCTCCAGGGGAGGGCCAAGGGTACAGCTGGGTCTGAGAGTCATTCTGGGGGCTTTAAGGGTCTGGTGCAGGCTGAGGGTCTTGGGGGAGATAGGCAGAAGGGCATGAGAAAGATGATCATCAGGTCAGGGTTGGGAGCACCAGATGAGGTAGGGAATGGCCTTTGTGGGTCCAGGGAGGCTGTGGAGGGAAAGGAGCAAAGAGCCACCCGCTCCTGTCCGCTCACAGCAGACTCTGTCCACAGAGGATGCAGTTCCGACTTCTGTGCCAACCACTTTGGTGGAGACACCACCTCTACCACCCCAGCCAGAGGCAACTACCATACAGCAGCCACCAGACACCCATGCTGCCTTGCCTCTGTTACCTGATAAAGGCAGACCTGTGCCCTGTGCTTCCCACGAGGCCACGTGCCATGATGGGCATTGCATCCACAAAGACTACCTCTGTGATGGGCAGGAGGACTGCAAGGACGGAAGCGATGAGCTGGACTGCGGTAAAATCCGAGTGGCGGAGGTGGGGTCCTGGAGATGGAGGAAGGTAGTAAAGAGGGTGCTGACTGAGCCCTGTGTGGTCCACCCAGGCCCCACACCACCCTGTGAGCCCAATGAGTTCCCCTGTGCAAATGGGCACTGTGCCTTCAAGCTGTGGCGCTGTGATGGTGATTTTGACTGCGAGGACCGCACCGATGAGGTCAACTGCCGTGAGTGTCCGAGGGACCAGGATTTATTTGTACTCCCTGAATGAGTGGTGAAGGTCTTATGGACAGACTTTCAGGTGTAGCTTACCCACTCTGACCTGTGCAGTGAGGGCTCTCGCTTCTGAGTTGGCCCTTGTAGCAAGCAATGTGCTGGACTGCCTGTAGCTAATGCCTCCTGATTTATTTCCTTCACTTTTGTAACCATTACTGTTCTTTTTGATATCAATGCATGTGTGTTGGTTAGATAAATGACCTAGATATGTTGATATGCTTGGGACCTTGGTCATTGGTTCCTTGATGCATGTGAGAGCCAAAGTGTTGGCTGTGTGTTATTTGTTCATCTAATGCCCAGCTCTGCCTCTACCGTCATTTATTCATCTGTCCAACATCCTTCCTCCCTCACATTTATCTAGGCCATCCACCCAATCATCCATCCTTTGTCCATCTATCCTTCAGTCTGTCCAATAGTCTACCTTCTTCCATCTTTCTGGTCATCAACCCATTTCCTAAGCATACATCCATCCATTTGCCAACTTTTCATTCATCCATCCATCCATTGCTCATTTGTCGATTATCCATTTACCCAGCATATTCCCTCCCTCCCATCCTTCTTTCCATCCATTCATCCATCTATTCACCCACCCAAGCACCCCTCCACCCACTGTCTTATCTGCCCAGCTTTTTATCCATGTGTAGCTATCTGTTTATTTGTCTAACACCCTTTCTCCTTCTCATCTATCGGTCCATTCATACAATCATTCATCTGTCTGTCGATTGCTCATCCACCCATCAGTAAATGTTATGGCAGATAGTTGGATGAGTAAGCAGCGGTAAAGAGGCCTGAGGCTGGAGAATCAGAGACCATGTTGGGGAGCATTTTGTGTATCTGGTCTTGCACGGTGAAGCCTGGGGTTCGTTAGTTCAGGATCAGTTATAAACTCTATCCCATTTCTCTTGGAGCGTGGGCCAAATCTCTTGAGTGCATGTTGACATTCCCCGGTCAGCAGCCCCAGCTTCTACTGGTTGAACCTGGGAGAGGCAGCAGCATGCCACAGACTGGCAGCTTCCTGATGACCATCCATCCTGTGGCTCTAGGGTTGCTGGTTACCTGAAAGCAAGGGTCCCTTGAGAGAGAAAGTCATTGAGAACTTTTATCTAAAAGCCTGATTCAGAGGCTTTTCTGCTAGGGAAATGTAAAAGGAAGGCCCAGCCCTGATTGAAAAGACACAGAACAGACAGAAGTTGAAAGCTGCGTGGTGTCGGACATCTTCAGGGGCCCAGAATAGAAGTCTCTGAAGTGGTATCGCCAACGGTCCTGGTCTCCACTCATCCAGTTCCCTCTCTGTGGATGTGTGGCTGCCACACTGTCACACTCTGTCCTCTCTGTCCCCATCAGTGTATCTCAAGCCCAGTTTTCCTGAGGAAAGCTTGGGGTTGCCAGTTTGTAGATTACCCGTTGGGCCCAGCCTGGTGCCAGGCTTGCTCTGACCCCTGCCAGTTGATAGATGGCTGGCTGCCCTAGGGTCAGGTGCCATCTCTGGGCTGCTTAGTGGGGCCTGGGTGACAGGGTCTTATGGTCCAGAGCATTGAGTCCTATGGGGGACTGGGGTTTGCTGGCCCCTTGCAATGCCTTTCCATTAGGGAGGACCTCATTGGATGTTACCCAGTGTCCAGAGATCCTGGTCACTGTGGTTGTGGCAGAATGACAAGGCTTGTCTGTATGTGCGAGGCTGCGCTTCTGTGACTCTGAGGGGCCGAGGGGCACTGTGACATGAGGTGACAGGTATTGTGGAGACACACTTGTGACTGTGTCATGCTGGGTGTGATGTGATGGATGGTGTGTAGCCGCAGTGGCTAGACCAGTGAGGGCAGCTGTGTTTCATGTGGGTAAGATGAGTGAGAAGCCCTGGGGACATCTGGGGACAAGGTGGGCTACTGGGGGGCAGCTAGGAAGTGCCCCAGTACCCACACCCCTGGCTCTGCCCCTCAGCTGCCAAGCGCCCCGAAGACGTGTGTGGGCCCACGCAGTTCCGGTGTGTGTCCACGGACATGTGCATCCCAGCCAGCTTCCACTGTGATGAAGAGAGCGACTGTCCCGACCGCAGCGATGAGTTTGGCTGCAGTGAGCAGGGAGCTGGGGGGTGGGGACAAGATCTGGGTGCTGGATTCCCCTCCACAACCTCGGGCACTCCCCTTCTCCAGCCTGGCTTCTCTAGGTCATCCCCTGCTCCTCACCCCTCACTCCTGCTCTGGCCTCCCCAGTGCCCCCCCAGGTGGTGACCCCTCCCCAGGAGTCGATCCAGGCTTTCCGCGGCCAGACGGTGACCTTCACCTGCGTGGCTATCGGTGTGCCCACCCCCCTCATCAACTGGAGGCTTAACTGGGGTCACATCCCCTCGCATCCCAGGTGCAGCTCTGGGCCCAAGCAGTGGCGGGGGTGAGAAGAGGCATGGCCGGTGGCCCAGCCCTGACCTCCTCCTCTGTCTTGGTGCCCACCTAGGGTAACAATGACCAGCGAGGGTGGCCGTGGCACACTGACCATCCGTGATGTGAAGGAGGCAGACCAGGGTGCCTATACCTGTGAAGCTATTAATGCCCGTGGCATGGTGCTGGGCATTCCTGACGGGGTCCTGGAGCTCATCCCACAGCGAGGTGCGGGCCAGGGATCAGGTGGGTGCCGGTTTGGGGGTGGGGCAGGGCCTCCTGCTAGCTAAGCCCACTCCCATACCTGTGCCTCCCAACAGGCCCCTGCCCTGACGGCCACTTCTATCTGGAGGACAACGCTTCCTGCCTGCCCTGCTTCTGCTTTGGCATCACCAATGTGTGCCAGGGCAGCCACCGCTTCCGGGACCACATCCGATTACGCTTTGACCAACCTGATGACTTCAAGGGTACGTGAGTGGAGGGGACACAGGGGGACTGGTGCTGGGTGAATGGGAGCCAGACACCAGATCCCAGAGGGCTTAGATAGCAGATAAGGGAGAACAACATGCAATGGGCATGTGGGGGCCAGGTTAGTGGAGAGACAGAGTTTCTGGGCTCAGTAAGAAAAGCAGTGCAAGGAAAACAAGCACTTTTAGGGGAAAAACAAATACAGACTTGCTGTTTGCATATTTGAGGTTATGAAATTCACAGACTCGGCAGCTGGGTCCCATTCCAGACTGTGACTTTTACTGCCTGTGTGCTCAAGTTCCTTACTGTCCTGTGTCTCCGTTTCTCTCATTTATAAAGTGCAGATACACTAATAACTACCTCCTAGGTGGTGGTGGGTCCATTGGAACAGCAAGGTTGGCAGTTCGAGCTCACTAGCCACTCCTAGGAAACCCTATAAAGGGTCGCTATGAGTCGGAAGCGACTCGATGACACTTAACAACAACAGGTTTTATAGGAGCCTGGGTGGTTCAGTTTGCTGCTAATTGAAAGTAGGTGGTTTGAATGTGCCTGGTGGTACCCTGAAAGAAAGGACTGCTGATCTGCTTCCCTAACAATTACAGCCAAGAAAATCCTGTGGCGGGAACCCTGGGAGGAAATGGGAAGAGTGCTGTTAAATGGAGGGGGTTGCAACTAATGTCATGAAACAAAATGTATCAGTTGTTAAATGGGAAACTAGTTCACTCTGTACATTTTTACCCAAACCACAATGAACTTTTCACAAATACTATTTTATAGAGGTGTGTGCATCAGCTAGTTGGGATATTATGTTTTCTTACAAACTTTTTGAAGTTTATGGTGTTTATCACGCTTGTAAAATGTGCAATTTAGTAGGATACATTTCTCGCTTTAAATAAATATTCATTCTTGCACTGAGAAAAGAAACCCCTGTGGAGCAATTCTACTCTGTAACACTTGGGGTCACCATAAGTCAGAGGTCGACTCAGCGGCAACTGACAACAACAACCAAGTTGTTAAAAGAATTTTCCGAGTTAATATATGTAAGCCATTCAGAATAGAGCTTGGCCCATGGTAAGCACCCAGTGTTTGCTAACGTCATCCTCCTCAGAGTGAGAGGTGCCAGGGTCCCCAACGCACAAGAGCAAAGGCTTTGGTGTCTTCTTAACCTCAGGCTGACCTCCAGCTACACCAATTCCTGCCTATGTGAGAGGCCAAGAAACTTGGGGCAAGTTTCTTGGCCTCTCTGGGCCTGTGTTCCCAAACATGAAAGGCAGGAAGTTGGACTCAGTTCTCTGTTTGTCTCTGGGAGGCAGAATGGCAAGGTAACTAAGTCATGAGCCCAGACATCAGGCAGACCAGGGCTCAAGTCCTAGCTCTGTCATTTCACACCTTACATCAGATAGTCCTTCATTTTGCTGAGCTTCCTTTTCTTCCTCACAGAGGTGTGTGGAGGGCTTAGTTCCACACACCTCTCATTCTGTCCCTCTGTTGGTTGAGGAACCTCAGCATGGCTTGCATTAAAGTTAGTTTGTTCCCAGAGTTGTCCTCCAAATAAGGAATAATAGCTCTCATGGCCACCAGCTGTGAACACTCACATCTGCACCATGGACTTAATGTCCCCAGTCCTGGAATTGCCAGTAAGCTTGCAAGGCCCAGCCTACTTCTACTGTCTTAAAGATGAGATTGCTGAAGGTCCAAGAGATTGTGAGCCAACCCTGGGACCACACAGCTGTTTAGACCTGTCTGATTGAAATCATGGATGGTCAGGGTAGGTAGGAACACGAGGGAGAGCAGGTGGCCTGCCTATGAATGGTGGTCAGGATGCAGCAGGCTGGAAAACATACACAGAGAGGAGGACACACTAGAAAGTGTGTCCTGGACTTGGGTGGTGGTGGGATGAGTTCAGTAGGAGAAGGACTAGACACCCTCCCCATGACCACAGTGGGTTATATTCAGAACCAAGGTAGACGTTATTGTCAGAAAGATGGACACTCAAGAAAGAAAGAACTTTCTGAATCAGAACTGCCCAAAGGTGGGAAGCACTGCCTTTGTAGGTAATGAGCTCCCATCCTTGAGACCTGCACTGTCTAGTGTGGTAGCCACTAGGTACGTGTAACTATTTAAGTTAATCAGTTTGTTCCTTAACGTAACTTTCCACATCTTAACTGCATAGTAGCCACATGTTACTAACAGCTACCATGTTGGACAGTGCAGAGTGGCAGTTTTCATCATCACAGCACATTATCTTAGATGTTTCTTTCTTAGAGATCTCAAAGGATGCTATAGAGAGAATCCCTGATCCCTCTGTGTGTGCTCACATGTGTGCGTATGTCTGTGTGTAAAAGAGGATAGGGCTAGATGACCTTCTTAACAACAGCAACAAGAATAGCTAAACATGGTTTTGAGCACTTCCTTTGTTTTAAACAATTAATACTAATTTGTTCATTTGATCTTCATAACAAATCTATGAGGCAGGCCACTATTACTCCCTTTTACAGTTTGGGAGATGAGCCCTGTAGCATAGTGGAGGACGAGGTAGGCTGTTAACTGTAAGATCAGTAGCTCAAATCTACCAGTCACTCCGGAAGAGAAAGATGAGGCTCTCTGCTCCCATAAAGATTGACAGCCTAGGAAACCCTCTACAGGGTCACTATGAGTTGGAACCTACTCTAGGGCACACCACCACTCCCACCACAGATTGGGAAACCTTTGCCCTTCACACGGCTGGAGATCAGGGATGCTGTGGCTCTAACCCTTGTTCTTTAGCCGTGTGTGTGTGTGTGTGTGTGTGTGTGTGTGTGTGTGTGTGTGTGTTGTGTGTAACTCACTTCTGCCCCCTGGAGGCTATTCCAACTCCACAGATCTATTTGCAAACAAAAGGCTCTGAGTAGTCCTGCTGCAAAGAATCCTTTAGACTTTGTGTTTCCCAAATGAATCCCAACCACCATCCCACAGCATTGGCTTCCCCTAGAACTTGCTAGGGGGAAACAGTGTTCCAAATCTTTTGTAGGAATAAGCCCCCCTGCTTTTTCTTGCCTTTAAGAGAGAGTCCCAAAGCTCTCTTTGAGTTGAATTTCTCTCAGAACTTTCCTGTGTTTTTTGAGGTGGGTGGCTTGGATGGGCACAGTGTTTAGGGGTCCTGACATCTAGCGCCTCACCCCTCCCTGTGCCACCTGCAGGTGTGAATGTGACGACGCCTACGCAGCCCAGTATGCCACCCCTGTCTTCCACCCAGCTACAGATAGACATCGCACTGCAGGAGTTCCAGCTGGTCGACCTGTCCCGCCGCTTCCTTGTTCACAACTCCTTCTGGGCTCTGCCTGAACAGTTCCTGGGCAATAGGGTGAGGGCTGGGCAGAGCCCCTCTTTACCTGCCCAGAGCTTGCCCAGGCTCTGCTCCCTCTAAAGCTGGTGGGCAACAAGACAGACTCAGCTCTAGGGGAAGGTGGGCAGTGGCTCAGTTGTTGTGAGGAGCAGGACATCACCTCCTCCAGTAAGCCCTCCCTGATCACTCTCCCATACTTGGCTGTGTTTGGTAACCCCTCCTGGGATCTTCTGCATAGCCTTATCATCCTCCCCTGGTCTTAAGGTTCTCTAGAGAAACAGAACAAGTGATATATCTATATCTATAGATATATGTATATAGATATATATATAGAGAGAGAAAGATTTACTTTAGGGGATAGACATAGACATTTGTAGTGGGGTAGAAAGTCCAAAATCTATAGGTCAGGTGAAAGGAGGGTGCAGAGTTCAGAGAGAAAGTGGGTTCTGCCAAAGTATCTGTTTGGAATCTGTAAGAAGACACGCCCTGAGGAAGTCCTCTTTGAACCGGTGACACTGCCGTAGATTACATTATGGAAGATGGTGCATTACATTAACATCACTGAAGGAGATTACATTCCATCGCATGAGCTTACATTATAGCACAGCCTTTTGTCTAGTGTTTGGCTAGACCACTGGGAACCATAGCCTAGCCAACACGATGCAAAATGAAGCATCAACCCCTCATCGGACTGAGCACCCAAGACAGAGCTGAGTCTCACCCATCTCTGTGTTCGTGTGCCCAGCTTAGTGCCAGGCACGCGGGGAGCATGTTGTAAGTGTGGGAACCACTTGTAGTGGGCACAGTGAGCTATTAGTGTTCCCACGCAGTAGCTATAAGTGGCTACTGGGTCCTGATCCACTTTGTCTCTCCAGGTGGACTCCTACGGCGGCTCCCTGCATTACAAGGTGCGCTACGAGCTGGCCCGTGGAGAACTGGAGCCAGTACAGCGACCAGACGTGGTCCTTGTGGGTGCTGGATATCGCCTACTCTCCCGGGGCCACACACCCACCTATCCTGGTGCTTTGAACCAACGCCAGGTCCAGTTCTCTGAGGTGGGTAGTGCTTGAGCCATCAGGGTTGGGGCTGCAGGGAGACTGCAGGTGGGGTGACCCCCACTTCTCCTTCGTTCACACCCAGGAGCACTGGATCCACGAGTCTGGCCGGCCAGTGCAGAGGGCGGAGATGCTGCAGGTTCTGCAGAGCCTGGAGGCCATCCTCATCCAGACCGTGTACAATGCCAAGATGGCCAGTGTGGGGCTGAGTGATATCACCATGGATACCACTGTCACCCACACCACCAGCCATGGCCGCATCCACAGTGTGGAAGAGTGCAGGTGTGTGAACTAGTAGGGCTGGGGAGCACAGAGACAAAGAACAGAGCCTCAGTTCCTACCGTCAGTCTCTTGGTCCTACCCTTGCAGATGCCCTGTTGGCTATTCTGGCTTGTCCTGTGAAAGTTGTGATGCCCACTTCACCCGGGTGCCTGGTGGACCCTATCTGGGCACCTGCTCTGGCTGCAACTGCAATGGTCATGCCAGCTCCTGTGACCCTGTGTATGGTCACTGCCTGGTGAGTAGTGCCCTGGCACTCGGGCACTGGATGGTGATAGGGGCAAGGGCAATCAATATAAAGGGAATACTAAGGTCTTGTTCCCATAAGCTTAGCATAAACCTCCAGAATGACTGCTGTGGCTGCAAGTGATCACAATCTCTGGATACATTAGGAGAAGTATAGTGTTCAGAACAAGGGAGGTGATGACGATCTCTGGATGCATTAAGAGAAGTATAGTGTTCAGAACAAGGGAGGTGATCACGATCTCCGGATGCATTAGGAGAAGTATAGTGTTCAGAACAAGAGAGGTGAACGGCCCACTCCCTTCTCTCTGGTCAGATCAGTCCTGGAGGGCGCCATCTGAAGAATGGCCTGTAGGAGGTCAGTTGGAGGAGGAAGGGTCCGAGAAGTCATAGCTCATTTTCCAGCAGTAGTGGAGGGAGCTGACAGAAGAAAAGAATGAGGACAAAAGTATTACCTCTAAGCCTCAGAGCTGTCATCTATGGGAAAACCAGACTCCTAAGGGTAGAAGTGGCCAGTGGATGCCAACTAGAAGAAGGAGGCAGGTTTAGGTTAATATAAAGTAGGTGTGTGGGACAGGCTGCCAGTTGAGATGGAGTCCCCATCAGACAAGAGAGTGTCCTGGACGCTGTGGAGTAATTTTAGCATGATGGGGGAGGCTGAGCCAAATGTCCTTAGAGACACATTCCAGAACTTGTCAACTGGTCCAGTGTAGCCTCAGGGAGGAAGGGCCTGCTCTGTAGACCCCTAGTCACTCCTTCTTCTTCCCCCCAGAATTGCCAGCACAACACAGAGGGGCCACAGTGCAACAAGTGCAAGGCAGGTTTCTTTGGGGATGCCACAAAGACCACAGCTACCGCCTGCCGGCCCTGCCCCTGCCCATACATCGACGCCTCCCGCAGGTCAGACATGGCTCAGGGTGGGACAGATATGGTGGGAGGTGGGGGTAGTACAGTGAGTGGAGGGACAGCCTCTCAGCAGGGATGTGGGAGACCTGGGTTCAAATCCTAACCTGGTCACTAGGTGGTTCTGCACTCTTCGGCCTCTCTGGGCTTCAGTTTCCTCTTCTGGGTGATGGATCCCATCCGTCTTGCTAGAGTTACTCTGAGGCTGCCGATCAAGACCGGGTTGGCAGGCAGACAACATAAGCCTACTGTGCCCATGAAGGCAGCAATCACTTCTCAGGGTGGGGAGTAAAGTCTGGCCACCTGCTACCCACAGGTTCTCAGACACCTGCTTCCTGGACACAGATGGCCAAGCCACATGTGACGCATGTGCCCCGGGCTACACAGGTCGCCGCTGTGAGAGGTGAGGGAGAGGCGGTGGGGAGGGGAAAACAGTCCATACTGGGTGGGCTCATGGGAGTGCCACTGACAAACCCCTGCCATCCCCAGCTGTGCCCCCGGATATGATGGCAATCCCATCCAGCCAAACGGGAAATGCAGACCCATCAGTGAGTATAGCAGTCACCCTTCCCCTCGCCACCCCTCCAGGCTTCCAGCTTCCAATCCTGGAGCCCAGCCCAGACCCTGTGATGTTTGGAGACCTGCCCCACTGCCCTGTCAGCTCACACCCACTTTGTGTCCCCAGATCAGGAGCTTGTGCGTTGTGATGAGCGAGGAAGCATGGGAACCTCTAGGGAGGCCTGCCGCTGTAAGGTATACACGCCATCCCAACCACACGGTGGGAGGGAGGGGATGCAGGGAGGAGGCTCCATCCTCTCTAGAACGCCTTGGCTGATGGGGCTGGCTGGCCCTACCCTGAGAGAGGCAGTCAGGGAGTCAGGCAACCTGGGTTCCATTCCCAGACCCTTTCCCTTTGGTTCATGTGACCATTGTATCTGCTCTGTACATTTGCTTTCACCTTCGTGTAATCCTCATCCTGGCACAGTGGCATCGTATTAGCATCTCCACTTGGCAGATGAGGAATTAGAGGCTCAGAAGAGGGGAGAATCTGTGGAACATCACGTTCACTAGAGAAAAGGTCTGGGACAGATTTTTGGAGTCAGGGAGTTCTGACGATAATCCTGATGTGTTAGCAAGTTGCATGGTGTTATTTAGACCATTTCATATACCTGAGCCTCAGTTGCCTCATCTGAAGCATGGAGATAAGAAGTACCTCACCAAGTCCTTAGGAGCAGTAAGCAAGGTGGTTTGCAAAGCAGTGAGCATAGTGCATGACACTTTCCATAAATAGTAGCCATCATTATTGTTTATACCCAAGTTGCTATCTTTGAAATCTAAATTTATTTGTGAGCACCCTGGCAGCCAGTGAGAAAAGGGAAAAGCAGTTGGTTGCCTGTTGTTGTTGTTATGTGCCGTAGAGTCGGTTCTGACTCATAGCGACCCTGTACAGGGTTTCCGAGGCTGTAAATCTTTACAGGAGCAGAAAGCCTTATCTTTCTCCTTTGGAACAGCTGGTAGTTTCGAACTGCTGACCCCTGAGGTTAGCAGCCTGATATGTAACCACTACATTACCAAATGGGAATAATGGCGAATGATCAGATGGTGACGATGCCTCAGTGTGCTCTATCCGTAACTTCCCCGGACTTCAGACCCCCATCTAGCATGTGGGTGAATTAGGTTGGAAGCTCCAGGTAGGCCCTCCGTGAGTCATCTACACCTCTCACCTCTGTGCCTGCAGAACAACGTGGTGGGGCGCATATGCAATGAGTGTGCTGATGGCTCCTTCAATCTGAATGCCCGCAACCCTGATGGCTGCCTCAAATGCTTCTGTATGGGCGTCAGTCGCCAGTGCGCTAGCTCCACCTGGAGCCGCGCCCAGGTACCTATGCAAGGTGGGCGGGCAAATAGGTGCCATCTCCAGTTCTATAGCTGGGGATGAAAACCAGTCCCAGGTCCTAGCCCCTGTCCTAGCTCCTCTCCTCCTCCCAGGTACATGGAGCCTCTGAAGAGCCCACCCAATTCAGCCTGACCAATACCGCTGGTACCCACACCACCAGTGAGGGCATCTCATCACCTGCACCTGGGGAGCTGGTCTTCTCCTCCTTCCACAGCCTCCTATCTGGACCGTACTTCTGGAACCTACCACCACGCTTCCGGGGCGACAAGGTGAGCACCAGGGTGGGGGAGGGGAAAGGGAATTCCAGGCAGCAGGAACGACACAGGCAAAGGTTTGGAAGCAGGATTGTCATGTTGTCTTGGAAGAAGTGCAAGACATTCTGCCTGGAGGAGAGGGCTGGGACAGTGGCCAGGCCCAGCAGTGGCATCCAGCTGAGTGCCCTGTCCACTCTGTTTCACAGGTGACCTCCTATGGGGGTGAGCTTCGCTTCACAGTGACACAGCGGCCCCGGCCTGGCTCCCTGATGCTGCACAGACAGCCACTGGTGGTCCTACAGGGCAACGGCATCGTCTTGGAACATCATGCATCTCGGGAGCTGAGTCCTGGCCAACCTAGCACCTTCACTGTGCCCTTCCGGGAGGTGAGCAACACCATCCCAGGAGACCTTCCTATGGGAGGAAGGACTCTTCTCCCTCAGGGTACTGATACCTCAAGATGTCTGGGGTCCCCAGGCCCTTCTCCCTCACAGTGCTGATACCCCAGGATGTCAGGGGTTCCACACTTGTATTTTTCACTTGGCAGCAAGCATGGCAGCGGCCTGATGGGCAACCAGCCACTAGGGAACACTTGCTGATGGCGCTGGCAGGCATCGACACCCTTCTCGTCCAGGCGTCCTTCACCCACCAGCCAGCTGAAAGCAGGTGCCTGGGGCTGGGGCCAGAGGATAGGAGAGGGAACCAGTGCTAGGAGCAATTTCCACCTCTGCCACTGAGAGGCTTTGTGGCCTTATTTGTACATCAGTATCCCCATCTGTTAGGTGGAGATGATGAGAGTGCATCCCCGGCAGGGCTTGTCTTAGGTTGGGCTCCTTAGAAGCAGAGCCTGAGGCAGGGACTGGGTGCAAACAATTCACAAGGAGAACCTGTCTCTCTATAAGGCGGGAGGCAGGGGATGATGGGACCCAGTAAGGATGCAGTTTCAGGGAAGGACCAATTCCAGCCTCATCCCACAGGCAGCTCTACAGAGTTGTCCCACTTCGAGGCAAAGGGGCCGAGTTTTTGTCCCATTTCTGCCTATCACTGGTTACCCTAGGGGAGTGGGTGGTATAACCCTCTTGCTAAGAAAAGGTAGAGTTTCCGGAAAGTTGCAGGTGATAGCTGCTAGTCACAGTGCTCACAGCAGTTTGGGATAGATGCACAGAGTAGGATGGATGGGGCCCTAACAACCTCCACAACAGGTTACTGAAGGGTGAATGAGATGGTCTATGTGATGGGTGCCAGGGGGCCTGGCACCGGGAGTGTCCATTCATGTGGCTCTTGTCATGGCCAGGATCTCTGGCATCAGCATGGATATAGCGGTGCCTGAGGGAACTGACCAGGACCCCGCCCTGGAAGTGGAGCAGTGTACCTGCCCACCCGGATACCGCGGCCCTTCCTGTCAGGTCAGCTCCTGACCCCACTTTTACAGCTAGCTCCTCCTGCATTAACACTCCCACCTCCCCAGACCTCACCCCAGCCCTGGCCACTCTGTGCCCTCTGCCCAGAAATGGTCATGCTGGGGAATCCCTCCCACTGCCCCCTTCCTGTCCCTAGGACTGTGACACAGGCTACACACGCACACCCAGCGGTCTTTACCTGGGCACCTGTGAACGCTGCAGCTGCCACGGCCACACGGAGATCTGTGAACCCGAGACAGGTTCCTGCCAGGTGAGTTCTGCCTGCCCTCCTCCCCTCCCCAGGGATCTCGGACCTCCAGGGCCCAGCCTCACCCCACGTTCTGCCCCTCCAGGCCTGCCAGCACCACACAGAGGGTCCTCGGTGTGAGCAATGCCAGCCAGGATACTATGGGGACGCCCAGCGGGGGACACCACAGGACTGTCAACCATGCTCGTGCTATGGAGCTCCTGCAGCTGGCCAGTACGTCCAGCCCCCACCTGCCCTCGCAGACCCCCTTCCTCCCAGCTCCTTTAAGAAGCAGTGTTTAAGTCCCAGCCTCACCGCTTCGTCCATGTGTCACTGTGGATGATACAGTGTTCACTCTCTGGGCCGCCGTTTCCTCACCTGTGAAATGGATGTACCAATCTCTTTGTGAGAGTATAATGGTGCACGTGGACCTGGAGTAGAGTGCCTGGCACATACCTGCCACTCAGGCACATTAGCTTGCATGCCCCGCTCTTCCTCTCCTTGCTCCAAGAACAGGGCAAGGAGGAGAGGCGAGAGGCAGCCACCTGCTGACTGGGAATTTGTGCCCCACCCTCACTCCCTTAGGGCTACCCACACTTGCTTTCTGGATACAGACGGTCACCCCACCTGTGATTCGTGCTCCCCGAGCCACAGTGGGCGACACTGTGAGAGGTAAGGTGGTAACAGGGTGGAGTGTGTAGAAGGGACTGACCCCAAGGGTCTTCATGCTGTGCCTGGACCTCCTGAGTAGAAGGAGTGAGGTGTTGCCTTCTCTGACTTCATACAGGCCCCCAGAAGACACTAGGCTCCCTTCCCAGGGAGCATAAACCTTTAACCTGACATTCACTGCAGAAGTGTCTGACCTGTTGTTTACCTCTAACTCCCAGCATCCCCTGCCCCAGCCAGGCTAGAATCTTCCTGTAAATCCCTTGTTCTTATTGAAAGGGTTTGATACCTGGTCATGCTAACTTACTGGCTGTGTGGCCTTGGGCACCTCCCTGGTCTTTTTGCATCTGTTTTCCCATCTGTAACATGGGTGAGTTGGACTGATGGTTTCCTCCAGCCCTGTGGGGTCACTGAGCCCCAGCAAAGGGCCTCCAGCAGAGTCCCAGGTTTACAGCAGGCTCTCCAGGATTTTGTGGTCCTGCCCTTCTTTCACCAACTGCTTTCTCTCTCCCTAGGTGTGCCCCAGGTTACTATGGCAACCCCAGCCAGGGTCAGCCATGCCGAAGTGAGTAGAGTTGGGAGGCCATTGGGGTTTGGGTTCCCAGTTCTCCCCACAGGTGAAGCTGGCACAGAGCTTTTGCTCTCCTTTGACTAGAGTACATGATGTTACCTTTCTGAGCCTCAGTTTCTCCGTCTGTAAAGTGGGGAACTGTAGTGAAAGTGGGAGGCTCCCATCATATATGTTCTCAGATCAGTGGTGAGCTAAGGGCCCAGCGGGTGAGGGGGATAGAGTGCTTGGTGGCAGGTTTAGGGCTACAGCAGAGATTTCCCTCCACCTCAGGAGACGGCCAGATACCAGAGCCCATAGGCTGTGGCTGTGACCCCCAGGGCAGTATCAGCAGCCAGTGTGATGCTGCCGGCCAATGCCAATGCAAGGTCAGTGTAAGCCCTGCCCGCCAGAAGGCCCTGGTCACAGCCACCAGGTTGCCAGGCCTTCCGTCCCACCATCCCCTCCCCCAGTCACCTCTGCTGCACAGCCTGGGGGGAATCAGGCAGCATCTGATGGGGTGGTCAGGGGCTCTCCAGGATGGCAGGGAGTGGCTGCTAGGCTGGCCTTTGAGGCTGCTGAGGTACAGAAAGCCCACTGAGTTCCCACACCCTCTGTGTTCGTCTTTCTGGCCCTCCATGCAGGCCCAGGTAGAAGGCCTCACCTGCAGCCAGTGCCGACCCCACCACTTCCACCTGAGCACCAGCAACCCCGATGGCTGCTTGCCCTGTTTCTGCATGGGCGTCACCCAGCAGTGCGCCAGCTCCTCCTACAGCCGCCACCTGGTGAGAGCCTGGTCCCAGTGACATCCCCATTACCTATGAAGATGAGCATCCCATGTCCCCATCCTGCTATCCCCAGAACCCGGGGCTTCCAGCCCCTACCCTAATGTCCTCTCTGTTCATTCATTGTTTCTACCGTGATCTCAGCAACTCCCCCATGACCAACTCTAATGCCTTTGTTGGATCCCCACCAAGATGCCTGCTCAGTGCCCAGACTGACACCCCCTCTCTGCTCCAGATCTCTGTCCACTTTGCGCCTGGGGACTTCCAAGACTTCACCCTGGTGAACCCGCAGCGGAACAGCCGCCTGACAGGTGGCTTCACAGTGGAGCCCTTGCCTGATGGGGCCCAGCTTGCTTTTGGCAACTTTGCCCAGCTCGGCCATGAGTCTTTCTACTGGCAGCTGCCGGAGACATTCCAAGGAGACAAGGTATGATGCGCAGCTAGGGCTAGCAGCCCTCCCCCAGCATCCCAGCACCGCTCTGTGCCAAGGCCCTGCCAAGCCCTGGGGTCAGTGGTGACTCAGACCCCAGCTCGCCTTCGGGCTGTCTTTTTTTTTTTTTTTTATGTTTTATTGTGAATTATGTGATAGTTTACATGGGAGAACATTAGCTTTACATTCATCCTATCGTATATCATTTCATTGCCATGGTTACAATCCCCTCC